TGCTCCATTGAGAGCTTGGACATAAGCCTTGGTCCTAAGCCACTCCCAGCAAATCTAGAGTTCTTCCTTTTGATTATAGTTATCTAGGGTCAAAAGGGACTGAGATTTTCGTGCCTCACAGGCAGCAAGGGCAAGATAACTTTGGTAGCTGGAACCTTTCCCAGCCCCAATTAACCTTGGATCATGTTTGAATAAAGTAACTGGAGTGAGCTAACCAGGGATCAGTCTTTTCCAAGAAGGGTGAACCCCACTGCTCTTCTGGAAAATGAAGGCTTAGCATCTTGGTGAGCTTCTCTGTCTACTGTCTGTGCCTACAGCCAACATCAGTCAATAATCTGGGCATCAAATTCATTGGCCAACTTCCTTACTGTAAATGGCATGCTTTAGTTCAGAGGGAAAAGCTGCACAATAGCCATGTTGTCTGGGACTTCCTTGTAACATCTATTTAATGTCTGTAACGTTCAATGTTGTGAGTTTTGTTTTTATGTTTTCTTTCTAACTTATCTGAACGTCTCTCTCTGGTTAATGGCTGTAAGGCCTTAAAGCAGGCAGTCTCCGGGAGTAACCTCACATTGGGAAGTAGGTTCTGTATCTACAAGGTACCAAGACCACTAGGTGGGAAGAAAACCAAGCCCTCTTCAGTGTTATTAGTGATACTGTACATCACATGAGTGAGAATGAACACGGACCTCATCCCCACTAAATAGAATGACAACCCATCTTGGAGTAAAGCGAGAAAAGAAACTTTAAATTATAAAACCCTAGGCAGAAAACAGAGCAAAGCTTTTATCATATTAGATTTGGTAATTTTTCATTTGTGTGTGTGTGTGTGTGTGTGTGTGTGTGTGTGTAGGCACATGCCATGGCATGGATGTAGAGGTTATATGACAGCTTTCAGGATCCAGTTCTCTTTTTCCATCATGTAGGGTTCCAGGGATCAAATTCAGGATTTTGGGCTTGCAGGTAACACCTTTACCTTCCCGTCATCTTGCTGGCCAGCAACCATTTCTTCACTATGACTCAAACCCATAGGAGACAAAAGCGGTAAGGGAGAAATGAGATTACAGGAAAGACATTTTAGGTTCTCCAAAACATAGTCAAGAGAATGAGAAGGAACCCCCAAAAAAGGTTATTTTCAAAATTATTCCCCCCAAATTATTTCCAAATCATAAGGTCCATTGAAAGTTAATATTATTGAAATGCAGAGCCACGGGGCCAATTCCAGCTGATCCACCTAGACACAGATCCTGGACCTAAGGCTCAGGGAACATTATGGAAGAGGGGCTGTGAGAGCCAGAGGCTCAGGAAGTTTACTGTGAAACTGTCTCCTAGTAAAGTCAGAGGCAAGACCCACAAAGTCTCACCAGAGTGGCTTCTACATGTGAACTGAATAAGGACAGCAACAACAGACGTGGTGTGGTGGATGGGGAAAGCCCACGAGGCCTCAAGCCTCCTCAAAGCACTGCAGGCAACCTCAGAACAACGAGAGCAGAAATGGTGTTTCCCAGAAGAGCACACTAGTGGGTTATCCGCTATCAAGTGCTCAGCGCTGAACACATATTCAGAATAATAACATTATACAGATAGACAGGTTGTAGTTAGGAAGACATATGTATACGCATATATGTATGTAAAAACAATGAAAAACGAGGCCATGAATTTGAGAGAGAACAGGGAAGCGTAGGCAGGAGGGTTTGGAGGGAGGAATGGGAAAGGGGAAATTATGTAGTTATATTACAATCTCAAACAATATACTGTTTCAGTCTTGCAAGATAAAGATTTCTGGAGACGAGTTTCAAGAATCCAAGTAAAGGCAGCGTTACTGAATACCACACACAAATAAGTAAAATGGTGATTTTTTTAAAATGATGTTTTTCTATAATTAGAAAAGCATCCAAGTTGAACTTTCAGACATCCAGATGAGAACAAAACGCTCTTAATGGAATCAAGACCACATGTTGCAGAAGGAAAAAAAAATGAGTTTAAAAGAAAACTAGAAACTATCTCAAATTAAATATCGGAAGTAACATCCAAAGCATCAGGGAGAAAGTCCAGAAGAGCAGTGTGCTGAGTTGTAATCCCTGAGAAAAAAAGGAATGAAAATATAATTGAAGATACATAACTGATGGGGTACCAAAGAAACAAGGCTGTTCATTTGCATACAAAGAAGCTCAGGGGCAGAATAGAAAGCCCCCTATAGCCACAAAGAAAGGCTTGTATAGAGGCAAACGGTCAGACCTATTTCTGAGTGTGTGAAGCAGGGCTCTGGAGAGCTAGGGCCTAGAAAGAGGCTGTGTAGTATAATGTCATGCTCAGCTTCCAGACCTTGTTTCCCTGTTGAAGTGACATTGATCATTCTTCATTGCCTGAGTAGCATTTCGACATCACCCTTGTATTCATGTCCACTGGCGTCCTTTGCTATTTATTTTCCCAGCTGTTGCGTATAATTATGGGAAGAACTGTGATTTATGGGACTTGGAGATGCTCTAGCAAAAGTTATGCAACATTTTGGCAGACCAAGGCGGAGGGAAGTCCACCAGATGGGAAGGATGGGCGTCTCCACGGATGACTTCTACAGGGGGCTTCTAACCAGAGATTAGAATCGTTCGCAGGGCTGTGGTGCACACAGCACACGCTGTTCTCTGGCCCTTTTACAACCGGCTGAGAGCAGCTCTCTCTGTTCTAAAGCTGGATAATAAAGACACTCCAGTTTCAGGAAAGTGGAGTGACCTGCTGGATAGGTTGGAAGAAACAGCATTGAGAAGAAACCTTGCTCTTCTAGGTCTGCTTGGAGCACACCAGTCTTTAGGTTGAAGAATTTGGGTAATCTCTTTCAGTCTGGCGTATACCATGGGTGACTCGATGCTGTGTGTGGGGCCCCTGGAATGTGGGGGGAGTGTTAGTGAGTGCAGAGATAAAGTGACAAGTGACAAGGGATCTCCCTTTCCCACAAATGGGGCACACAGAGAGTTGTGCTGTGCAAATTAGGTGTGAAGATAGCCTTGCTATGAACACAATTTCACAAGGAGATGATTGCCACCTTCATTCCATCCTTCTGTGTGGGACACAGGTAGCGAATCGCTGCTCTGCTCTGCAAATTCGCAGTTACTGCTGATGAAGACAGCGATCCCTAGTGTGGGCATCGCTGACTTCGGTTTTTCCTCTCTTCACAGCAGACTTTTACTACTCACACTGGTCTCATCCTCTTGTCTATATGCGCTGGGCCTGTGTCAAAATCAGAGATGCCGTCGTGAGACTCTGAAAGCTCGAAGCTGAAGAAGGTGACCTCCATCACAGAGCTCCTGTTCCTCAACACTCCTCACTGCTCTCGAGTTATCCTTTAGCCTCTCAGGGAGCTATTGTCTGGCTTTACCACAACCAGTGGAAGAGTCCACTGGTGTCACCAGGAGCCAAGTCCCCCTTCCCACTCTGCTGCTTTCCACACCTCACCAAGCAAAGGGATGGGGCACGGAATTGTAAATATTCTCTCTAAGGGAAGAGCGTGGTGACTTGGCTTTCCCTTTTCTTCTTGAGACCTCTAAATATAACCAGTGTCCTGCTCATTCTATGTCCCCAGAAGCACTGGAAGTGGTAATTCTGGAAGATTATCTCAGAGCTGGTGCAATTCCAGGCGAAAAGACTACACTCTGGTTCACCACCTATGATTCTTTGCTAAGGAGCCTTCACAATCTGGAGTGTGAGAGACTAGGTGAGTCCACAGGCCAGGCAGCCAGGAGAAGGGTATGTTAAGCCCTATTAAGAATTCCAGGTTTCAGGATGGTCTGGGACCCCCACTTTCTGACTCTAGAGAGAGAGGGATGATGATAAAAGGCAGGGCCCTGGCACACCTGACAGTCCTCTCCTCTGTTATATATCAAAGTTCCTGAACTTGCATGGAGTAGTACTAGGAACACTGTTTGCTATAACAAAATCATGTTATTGATACCTGGTTCATAGACAATGGAAACATATTTCTCATCCCCTAGGGTCTGGGAAGTCAGAGATGAAGAAACCACATGTTCAGAGGCTGGTGAAAGGTCCCTTCCTGGGTGTGTACACAAGTGCTTTTATTTGCTGGGAGAGGTGAGTGGGGTTCCTCATGCTTCTTCATGAGGTCATGAAACCCATTCAAGTGTACCATCTTCACAGACCATTCTTCTCCCAAAGACTGGATCTCCTAACACAATCACTTTGGAGATTAGGGTTTCAACTTATAAATTTTAAGGGAGCTACAAACATTCACAACCTAGCAACATTTTCACAAAAGAAAAAGACATGTTAAGATATTTGTCCATCCAGAAGGAGCTCCTTGGGATCTGGGTACACTCTACGGACTACACCTCAACATAAATTAATAAAATAGTACTAGGCATAGTTAGGGCCCACCTTTGATCTCAGGGAGGCTAAGGCATAGGATTACAATGACACTGAAGCCAGTCTGCAACACAGCAAGCTCTAGGCTAGCCCGGGCTTCAAACTAAGATGCTGGTCAGGAAGCCAAAGCAAGCAAATAGACAAAACCAGGAAACAAAGCATAGCAAAAGAGTAATGAGAACAAGGTGCTCATGGGACATTTATAACTTGGCTTGAATTGGTATGTATGCAGCTGGACATACTGTGGGTGGATGGCCGGAGACGATGGAGCAGCCAACATCTGCTGGATGTTGGTCAGACTCTTACTTTCAGTGAGCCAGCTACTGAGCACTAACTCAGCTTTACCCTGCAGCAGTCCCAGGATTTCCTGAGAAGCCCCACCTCCACTTCTTTTATGGGAGCCAGTAGGACTGAGCCTAAGCAGTGGTCAGCTTTTTTTCTCCTGGATGCTCCCATGAAGCACAAATGGTTAGGAGTCAAAGGCTCAGAAGGCCACAGTGGAAGGAAGCCCCCACCCTGATGGAGGGCTGTCACTATCTGTTAAGAAATGGCAGTGCCCTTGTGGCTCCCGATTTCTGGTCATAAGAAATGTCTCCTTTCTTAGTCAAAGCAATGTTCCAGTGATGAGAAGAAGGCAAGTTCGCTTGTCTACATAAAGCCCTAAGGAACAAAGTCCCCTTCCGACTTCTACTACCGTCCCTTTCACTGGGCGGCTAAGGAACTGAGGCCAAAGGACCAAGATGACCATTTCCCTACCCAATCAACAGCTTCACTCCACCATGACCAAGACAAAGGCCCCTTTGGCTCTTTCAGGGTGAGTATGGCACCACCTTCAAACACTCCTTTCGATGCTCCTGAAATGGAGTGTGACTTTGTTCTGGGAAAGCATAAAAAGGGCTGGCAAGGTATTTTAAATCCCACATTCATTTCCTTCCCCCAAGAGAACCCACGACTTCACTCTAAAGGTTCCTAACTAGAGAAGCAAACCCTCAGTTTGGGGATACTTACTGAAACAAAACAAAGTATGTCCTGGTGGTTTGTCATATTTTAAAGCCTTTGATAGCTGGAAGCTGAGCCAATCATGCACAGGGCTCCCTGTGCTTTAAGGTTGATGGTTAGTGACACAGAGCACATTGTTCATGGCTTTCTCTAAGACGGACTGAAGAGGCTCAAGAGGGGGAACATCCAGTACTAGATCCAACATAGACCTCAATGTTAACATTGCCTGACATTGAGCCTGGAGTACCTATAAGCCTTTGACAACTGGACATAGCCAGCCTCGAGTGGCCCTGAAACATGAAAGGTGTCATATAAAATGTTTATCTAAAAGAAAAAGGAAAAAGAAAAGAAAGAAAAAGAAATATTTGTCCCACACTAACACTCACAAGTGACTGCCATAAAACTGTCGAGCTCCAGGGCTGACAAGATGTCTCAGTGCTTGGTGTGAAAGTAGGAAGACCTTAAGTTCCCAGCCCCTGCCTGAAAGCCATCATGGCTGCATTTGCCTGTAAGCCTGGCACTGGGGAGTAGAAAAAGGCAGATCCTAGGAGCTTACTGGCCAGCCAGCCTAGAGAAGCTTCAGGCTCAGTGAGAGACGTTGCCTCAAAAATGAGTGTGAAAGTGATAGAGGAAGACACCCAGCACCCCTCTCTGGTGTGCTCATGTACACATGGGCGTGTACCCCAATCTCACATTATGTCAGAGAACAAGACTGTCTGCTTACACTTTTCAGAGAAAGAAACCGGGTGCTAGGCGGAGAAACAGAAAAGACCTACACAGGGGAGTGTGGGTGTTTTCTGAGATAGTGTAAAGCCCAATGCCTGCTAAGTAAGGGTCCCAGGTGTGTTTCCTAGAGGGTGTCCTTGGTGTGAACCTGGAGTCTGTAATCCTGGTCATCTGTCTCTTCAAAATTCCAAACTCATTTACACGCAGGTGCATCATTATAGAAGAGAAGGTTGTAAAAGTGAATTGGAAATTCCACACTGGCTTAATTTCCCTGTAGAACGAAGCTCGTTAAAATCCTAAGGCTTCCTTCTTGGTCAGAGAGCAAGCCTGTGTGTTTTCCATATGCTAACACTTCCCAGGGTTAGTCTAGTTTACAGGGTAATAAACAGATCAAATTGTTTTTAGCTGGGTAGCCTGAACTCGGTCTAGTAACAGGTTTTTTGTTACGTTGTTGTTTTGTTGTTGCTGATCAGCATTGAGAAAAAGTGGATCATTAGTGTTTATAAGAATGAAGAAAATATTACTACTACTTTACGTTGATCTAAAATTCATGTGGGGTCTATCACAGGAAAAGAAGAGGTTGTGGCAAGTCTCTTATAATTGACAGTCTGCAGAAATGATACCTGAAAATATAACCTCGTTTCCCATCATTGAAAGACCTCATCTCAAGTTTCATGGAATAGATTTGGCTTTTGACTGGTGAGTGGTCTGAATAGCAATTCTCTCCCATTCGGCCTCTCCTCCTGGCAAATGGTTCTCATTTGTGGCTCTGGCACTTGCCAGATATCGATAATTCTCTGCCCCTTGCCCTTCAGACCTAGGGGCAGTAACAGTGTCCCTTTATCACAGGACCCCAGGTCCTTTATCATCCCCTTAGTGTGACTGACCTTCAGTCCACTTGGAAAAAACTCAATAAAGCATTTTCAGTTTGCCCTGGCAGCCCTGCTGAGTACCTGACCCAGAGTTCCTTCCTGCCTTCTGACTGCTAATCCTCAGCTCTGACTGCAGACAGTTATCTAATGGAAACTTAGGTTTCTGGCCTGTCCTCTTAGGACTTCACTGGATGGTGCTGGCGAAGGTGGGGATGGGCAGGGAGAACACACACTGAAAACACCCACAAAACAGGAGCCAGGCGTTGCTGAATTAGAAGCTGTTTTCAGCCTGGATGTATTTAGATCCTGGAGGTGAGTGGTGTGCTGGACTGATTAGGCCACTGACTTGGGGAAAGAGGTGGAGTTGAACAGAGTAAACGTACCACACTGAGAGAGGGGTGTGGAATCACAGCAGAGGGTTAAACACTTTGCCCCAGTAATCCCTCGGTCCATGAAATTGTAAACAAGACGGTGGTTTATGGACTGAACAGACCATGTGGGGAGCAGTTTAAGTAAACTACATGAACAAAATGAGAGGGTGTGTGTTTTATAGGGTGCTCCGTTGGTCCAGTACTTCTGGGTGTGGTGTTTCTGTTGAGCACAAAATTTCCCCAAGGATTCTTTTTCCTAAATTTTACTGGGAGAGAAAAACAAAGGCTCAACTGAAAGTTTATCCCCGAGTGTGTGTGTGTGTGTGTGTGTGTGTGTGTGTGTGTGTGTGTGTCAGAGAGAGAGAGAGAGGAGAGAGAGAGAAGAGAGAGAGAGAGGAGTGAGAGAGGAGAGAGAGAGAGAGAGAGAGAGGAGAGAGAGAGAAGAGAGAGAGAGAGAGAGAGAGAGAGAGAGAGAGAGAGAACCTTTCTAGATTAACTGACTGGCCAGCTTGCTTCCCTGTCCCCAGCTCCATACTGCCACTTTCTGCTCTTTTAGAAATTCTGCAGAAGAAACTACTCTTTCATGTTCACGTGTACTTCAGAAACTGGTGGTGTCACTTCTTGTTCCAGCAGCTGGTGATAGATGAATAGACTTGTGAAGGAACAGATGCAGGAACATAAAAGTAAAGAATGACATGGTACATTTGATGACAGAATCACATCCTGGTTCTGGAGAACACATGGGTGGGGGGAGACTGGGGTCAGAATAGACATCCTTAAGAGGACTAAGCTGACCCCTAAAGGAGGAGCAGAAATTCTCAATGGCAGGGAGGGTAGGATGAAAAGAGATCACAGGAGGACTTACAGAGGGAACCCAAGAAAGGAGAAGATGTCCCTGTGGGTTAGTGCAGCAGCCACAAGCATTTTATTTAAGACACCCTGAGCAGACAATGTTGGGGCAGAGGCAGAGAGAGGTTATTGAGCTAGTGCAAGGGGCTCCAATCCTGTTAAGAAACCCAGAGGAGAAATGGAGTCTCTGAACACCTTCTAAGCAAAGAGCAATGTGTTTGGGGTTGCCTTTCAGTTGCTTAGCCTAAAGAAGGCTGTAGAGATACATCTTAGGGACAAGACAAGAGGCAGACCATGGGCTTTCCCCAAGTTCTCACTGTACTTTAAATTAGATGAAGATAACATGATACCAAAATTTATACTGAGTTATTGGCAATTTCAAAAGGATAGTGAAGATTATGCTACATAAACTGGAAGTCACACACTATGGTTCTGGATGGTTTTGTTTTTTGTTTTTAGTGAATAAACTAAGTTAATTTATTTTTTTAAAACTCAAGAAATCTAAGAATACCATGGTAGAGATTGGGAAAGTAGCTGAGTTAGTGAACTAATTGCCTAGCATGCACAGAATCCTGGATTTGATTTCTAGCATCTCATGAATCAGAAGTTAGAGGCCATCCTTGACAATGTAGTGAGTTCCAGGTGAGCCCAGATTATATGAGACCCTGAGTCACTAAAAAACTGTGATTCCCAAAGTATTACCAACCTCATCTGTAGTGAACAATACAGCTGAAGTCTTTGGCAATTCAACCCTGACTCATTGAGTGTTAGTCTCACACAGAGAGTGAAGGAGTGTGTTTACTAAGCACAGCCAGCGGGAATGAAAGACTACATCAGCGAACAACAGAAAGAAAGTAGGACATCTGAACAGACACACTGACCAGCAGAAACCACTGGGGAAAGTGACAGTCAGCAGTGTGACTGACTTATAAAGAGAGTCCCAAGCAACTGTCTTCTTCTGGGTGAGACTTCTAACTAGTCCTTCCCACCATAGGAAGTTCACATCCTTTAGAAGATTTTTTATTTTTATGTGTATATATGTATGTGTAGCTATTGTGTGCTCGGGTCCCCTAGAGACCAGGAGAGAGTGACAAACCCATGGAGCCTGAGTTACAGGTTGTTGTGAGCCACCTGGCATAGTTGGTAGGAACTGAACTCAGACCCTCTGGAAGAGAAGTGTACTCTCTTAACCGTTGAGCCCCCTCCCCCAGGCATTTTAATGCAATAAAACTGTGGCTGAGTCTTTTGCTTTGGGAGGGTGCCTGGGAGTGTTTGGCTCCCAGCTGTGTTCAGGGCCAGGGTTTTGACTCCCGTGTTGTACTTTTTGGTCTTTAGGACGTGAATGATATCTTCACTTCGAACAATTTTGCAATTTTCTGTTCCCTTTCTCACAGGGGTCAGGGGCTAGCCTCCTGGAGAAAGGCTCTTGGCGGACACTCTAGGATAATCATGAGGTTACCATTACCTGGGGGTTACCCACCCTGCCTCCAGAGCCAGCTCCTCAGGGAGCTTAAACTGCACTTGACAATTGACTAACATGTGTCACTGTCTTCTGTTACAGAGGGACAGAAAGGCCAGAGAAGAGTAAGAAAGAAATTCTGCTCCAATAGCAGGGACAAGTGGTAGAGGGACTCTGAGCCCTGGCCTCTGGGCACACCTGTGGTGGCATTCCCACTACCTTTTCAGGTGACATCCAGTTCCTCCCACTCCTATATGAGCAAACATCAGTGTCACTCGTGCAGGGATGATGTACAATGACCAAGATACCTCGTGCTTTGAGGCTCCAGGGGTGAGTTGGGGGTGGGGGTGGGGAAGATGTTTGGAAGGCTTTGGTTCTGCCTCCTCCTTTGCTCTTTAAATAAATAAATAAATAAATAAATAAATAAATAATCCTCTTGGTATTTTTAAGAGGAGAAAAAGAGAAGTACTTGGATTAGCTAACCCAGATCTATTCTACTGGAGGCAGGATGTGCGTTAAGTTGCAGGAATCTGGGTGAAAGATACAGGGAGAAGAGGAGGAGGAGAAAGGGGACTGGTTGGTTCACATTTTCCCAGCATCCGAGAGATGTGAAAATGGACGACAAGGTCAACATGGCCCCCAGGTTTTCTGTTTGAGTGAGCCCAGGTGCTCTTGCCCCAAATTTGAGAGCGCAAGAAACAGGAAACTGGGGGGTGGGGGGGATGGAGGACTTGGCTGAATCACCCTTGAGCATTTAAGTTGTTGTTTCCACTAGGTTTGGATTCAGCCAGATAGGTGAGGTCACAGCATCACGATATCCTGGGGCAAAGTACTCTCAGTGACTTCACTTGTCCAAAGTTTGAAAAGGTGAAAAAACTAGATTAAAGTTTAAAGAGACCTTGCTTGGTTAAAGGTCTCCTGAGTGGAGTGGAGATATTACAAGGGATGATTAGCTATTTTTCCTTTTAGAGTCTCTTCCTGTCCTGGGAAATACTGTCTCTAAAGTACTGACACCAAGAAACATGTCTCACTGTCCCTGTAAAAGTCCTCAGTGTCCGTGCCTCTGTACACATCCTCAGTGTGCTAACCATGGACTGATGATCTTCTGATACAGTGGCCATCTTGACAGGTATTAGAGCAACCAGCTATTCCTCTTGAGTTACCAACTCAAAGAACTTGTAGACAAGATGAGAACCCGTTGTTCTTCTAACAAGATGGGAGTTCGGTTTTGTTGTTGTTGTTTATTGTTGTTGTTTTTGTTTTTCCTACAAAGGGACAATCAAGGGAGGTGGCTCAGCACGTGAATGTGGGGACCGGGAGTTCAAACTGCTAGAATCCACATAAACCTGGGTATGGTGGTACATGGCTATAATCCCTGTTTACAGGCCGCTTATCCTGTGGTGAACCCTGTCTCAAATACTGTGGAAAGTGAGGGCTGACACCAGAGGCTGTCCTCTGACCATACACACTTACCATGGCATGCATGAGCACACACACATACACACACACACACACACAAACATGCATACACACGCACACACAATTTTTTTTTTAAGGGATGATAGTCCAAATTAAGATCAGAATTCTGGCAGGTCAGACACCCTTTAGGTAACAGGAGTAAAATGGGGCTCCACATAGTGTCAGGACCAGCACCCCAGCACTGAGGTCTCTTGTCATTTTGTCTGAGGGATTTAGTCCTCCATTACAGTAATTCTCTTTAGGATTTAGACAAGTGCTTCCCAGAACCTTCCGTGCTTGGGAAAGCCTATTTCTCATTCCTAAACAAAAGCACTAGCTTAGAAGAAAGGATCTAAGAGTTCGTTTTGATTCCTGCGGACATTTTTTTTGACTTCAGTTTTAGAAGTAAGGGAGAGCTAAGCTTAGAGAACTCTTATTGCAGAGTGTTTGAGAGTTGGGATTATGTTTGAAGGGTGGTGGGGTGGGCACAGTAAGCAGTTGCTGAGGGCTTCTGTTTGAGGTGGAGCTGGATTAAACTGGGCTTCCTGGAACATCCCCATTGTGATGTTTTAGCTGGAGTCATAATCTATAGTATTCACATGATTTCTTAACTTGTTTGCTATATAGAAAAGTTTGTTTTATAACAGGTCTTACTGGATAAATAATACTGCATTTGACACATGCCAGGAAGTTGTATAAGTCTATGGTTCTTTGCCAACATTGCATTACAGCTTAAGATGCAAAGTTAAAACACTCTTTTATGGTCTTTCACATACATAACTGCAAAGTCAAGCAAGCATTATTAGTAGTACTGTCTTAAACCTCAAATGAAATCCTATTCAGTCACTGCGAACGAAATAAAAATTTAAGGTGATTGGACATCTGAAAGAGCAGTTGCCAAGAAAATGCCTTGTTCAGTTCTTTGACAAATCTGATAAAGTGTTTTCTGAGCAAGAAAACTGACACAGTCATGAGCAAATAATCCTTTCAGTCCATGGTTGAATAAGTGCAAATATTTGCACAGCACCTACTGAACACAGAATCTTCTACTAGGTCCCCATTAAAGGCAGAGCATGGAGAACAATCTTTCTAAAACTTTCCTCACACAAGGGAGTAATTTTTGGGAGATCCACCACCTCTTCATAGCTTAGAGGGTGTCTGGCAATGTGAGAAAGATGGAAAGAACTGTTGAAACATAGGGCTGATTATATAACAGGAATCTCACTCTTCTTTGTGAAGGCAACTCAACTCTCTGAGAGATCAAGAAACAAACTGATGGAGAAATGCATCTAAAGAAAGCTAACTCCACTTCCCCTAGCAAGCCACGCACTGTCGATGGCTCCTCAGAGAGAGGGCTCATATGCCTTTCACCCACCTATGATGGAATGTTCACACACTTAAGTCTGTTTTTTCATTTTAAAAAATGTGTTGTTTTTAATTTTTCATATAGTTTATTTGTTCATATTCTCTCCCTTTCCCCAACTTCACACACACACACACACACACACACACACACACACACACACACACACATACACCCTCCCTACCCACTCAGCTTCATGATTTTTTCTCTCTCAAAAGTATTAATGAGCCTGGCGGTGGTAGCACACATCTTTAATCCCAGCACTTGGGAGGCAGAGACAGGTGGATTTCTGAGTTCGAGGCCAGCCTGGTCTACAAAGTGAGTTCCAGGACAGCCAGGGCTACACAGAGAAACCCTGTCTCAAAAAAACAAACAAACAAACAAAAGTATTAATGAATAAAGAAATAGAAACACCACTCACACAAACAAATAAAATAATAAAAAAAAAAAGAAATAGAAACTCCACTCACACAAACAAGCAAACAAGCAGCACATAAGGAAACAGAGACCCTTTTGTGGTGGCCAATGACTCCTGAGCACGAGACTGGCTCTGAAATACAGTGGACACACCCAGTTCCACTGAATTAGAGAAAAACTGATGTTCTTCTCTCCAGCAGGGATCAACTCCAAAGAGCTTCATGGTTGGGGGCGGGGCTTTATGTCCATTTACTCTTATCTATGCTGGAGTTTTGTCTGGCTTGAACACGTACAGCTCTCCCATGCTGTCATGGTCTCTGAGTTCATATGCACATCAGCTCTCCTGTGTCTGGAAGATGCTCCTTCCTTGGCATCATCCACCACCTCTGACCTCTTAAATCTTTCCACTTCCTCTTCTTCATAGAGCCCTGATCCTTGAGGAAAGGGCTTTGATAAAGACATCTCATTTAGGGCCGAGTGCTCCAAAGTCTCCCATTCTCTGTGTGTTATCCAGTTGTGTATCTCTGTGCTGATTTCCATCTGCTGAAAGAGGAAGCTTCTCTGGTGAGGGCTGAGCAACTCACTGGTCTATGGGCATAGCAATGTGTCTTTAGGAGTTGTTTTATTGCTATATTCACTTAGAAGACTAATAGTTGTAGGTTTTCTATTAAGGCCAATGACCTATCTAGTCTAGGTTCTTGGCTTCTTTAGCAGGTTACATGTGGCTTATAGCTTATAGAATGGGCCTTAAATCCAACAAAATGTGGTTGACTGCCCCTATAACATTTGTGCCACCCTTACACCAGTATGTCGTGAAGGCACTAGCGTAGGTTACACGGCAATATTGATGAATACCTCTCTCCTCCTGTAGCATGCATTGTACCTTCCAGCACTGTGAACGCTAGTCAGTAGGGGTAAAGCTTCTAGCTGTTTGCCAGCTCACTTCCTCCATGTTTGATGATGGAAAATAAGTGGTGTTTTCAGCAATAGAGCCTTAGCATCAGGTTATAGAGAGCAACCAATTGCCTTGGCAGTTGCCTCTAATGTTTGGGGAAGTCTGTGGGATCCCTTTGGCCAAGCACTCAACAAGATGTAGCCCATTCCTGGTTCTGGAGGTTTAACTTGGTAATGTAAGATACCTATAGTTTGGGCATTGTCTCTTCCACTGTATGGTGACTCGGTTTAAATTCCTTTCATGTTCATATATATTGTAGGAAGCTTCTACAGTAGTAGGTTTCCATACGGCTCTTCAAAAGGCCTTTAGTGTTACTTGTCTCTACTTAATTCCTTCCTTTCTAACTCCTCCCCCATTCCCTCCTTGCTTAATCCTCCAATTAGGGTTTCCCCTTTCTCTCTTTATAATACTATGTTGTATTTCCCCTTCTTTGGACTACTCTTCTTTTCCCCCGGTCCCTTACTAGCCACCCAACCTCTGTAGTTGTTCTACATGAAACACACATATCTAAAGCTTTAAAGTTAGCGTCCTTATTTACAAGAAAACATGCAATGTTTGTCTTCCTAGGTCTGGGTTACCTCCTCCCTCAGGATCGTGTTTTCTAGATGTATCCGCTTACCTCCAAATTACATTTTTTCATTGTGTAAATGTATTGTGTTTTTATTATCTATTCTTCAGTTGATAGACATCTAGGGTGTATCCAATTTCGGGCTATTATGTTTAAAGCAGCAGTGAACACAATTCTTCACAGAAGTTGAAAAACAAAGCTTAAATTTTTTTGTGGAAACACACACACACACACACACATCCCAACCTGAATCAACCTTGCACAATAAAAGAACTGCTGGAGGCATCACCCTTCCAGATTTCCAAGTTGTATTACAGAAACATAGTCATTAAAACCAGCATGGTATTGGCTCTTTTTTCTCCAGTTGGTATTTGTAGGTTCTTTGTCAAAAAAAAAAAAAAATCTGGTATCTCTATGTGGGTGGAGTTGTGTCTGGGTCTTCAGTTCTATTACAATGATCTTCAAAGTGGACAGCTTCATGTAGAAGAACGAACAGAGATCCAAATCTATCACTCTTCACAAAACTC